CTATTGTGCCCTAGCTCCAGACCAGCAAGAGAGGAGATGGTGTTTCCCTAATCTTGTCTCTTAAAGAGTCTTCTTTCTCCCAGGTCTGGCATCTGGCCCTGCTAGACCTCTTTGTGCTGCTCTAGAATGAATGGGCACATCTCCTAAGGATCCAGTATCTGAGAGCTTTTTCCAGTGCTCCAAAGATGCAGTGTGAATGCTGCTTGCCCACTTGTCCTGTTTACCTGATAAAATCCTTACAAATAAGACCATGATTCTGAAGGGAGATATAGCCACCAATTTGCTACAAGTGTTTGTCAGTTCATGACTACTCCATGCTTGCTACCCTAGCTACACGTCTGAAGATATTTGACCTAAAAATGAGACTGCCAAATCTTGAGTCAATAGGAACCAGGCCACACTGTAAACTAGTGTCCCATCTTTAGCAGCAGTGGGTACTTGACCCTGTCTGCTGTACTTGACTCCGGACAGGGGGCTCTGGATGAAGCTCTGGTCACATTTGTGCCAGTGGGCTGAACATTACCCCAACTGCAACCATGTGCCTAGTCTCTGTGACTACTTTTACTTATGTTCCTCATTTGCTCTACAGTTCCCTGAGGGTCCTGGAGTCCTGCCCTGGACTACAGCCCACTTGATTGGGCCCTGACAACCTGCCCATTGCCATCTGCTGGCTAATGTCCTGGTTTAACCTGAATGGGTGCACCCATTGAATCAGGATGCTACCACCTGCCCCGAGCACAGCTGCTGCCTAGCTGTTGCTGGGGGGCCTCCATTCGCTTGTCTGGACCAATCAGATCAGATCTGTGGAAGCTACACCACTATCAACTCAGGGGGAACCCTATAGCCGAGCTGCTGCCTAGCTGTTGCTGGGGGGCCTCCATTCGCTTGTCTGGACCAATCAGATCAGATTTGTGGAAGCTACACCACTATCAACTCAGGGGGAACCCTATAGCCATGTGAGTCCCCACTCCACTCTAGCCACATATTCTTGATACTCTTAGTTTACTCTTCTTGTGAAAATTCTGCCCCAGATTACAAAACCTACGCAGATAATTTTCACCATCACTAGGTACATCAAACACTCAAAGTCAACCTCTAATATTTTCATCAGCACTGACTCAGTTGTTTTATCCATCAGGAAATAAAGCCATGGTTATAGGGCCTATAAAAAAAAGGGCATAGGAAAACATTTTAGATCTGACAAAAAAGTGGCTCCAAAACAAAATAATGCATTCAAAGTTAAAAATAATTTCAAAAGCAAAAGTCTTTAAAAATTTTCATAGCCCAAACGTTCTATTTATTATGGAATACAGCTGCATTTTATCATGCTATAGGGTGGGTCATCTAAGGACCTGCAAACGTAGTCTCACAGCTGCCCTATACTGATCACATTTCCAAAGTCATTCTTGCTTTCAGATGATGTGTGTCTGCCACTAAAATGATACGGGCAACCATGGTGCCATGGTTACTAACCATAGGGCTAGTAGTAGGTACTTTAATAAATTTGTTGAGTGAGTGAATGAATAGACGAATGAATGAATGGAGCAATTTATACATAAGCAATGTATAAGTTCTCCAATAGAAATACATTCAGAGATTTTAAAATATCAGAAGGAGAGGGGAAAAGTTTTGGAGATTGGTTGCATAACAATGTGAATATACATAACACTGTACACTTAGAAATGGTTAAGATAAAGTTTGATGCTATATGTTTTCTGCCACAATAAAAAATTAAAAAATAAAACCAAATTTTAAAATATCAGAAATAAAATTTACAGAAAAACTTAGAATAGTCCTATGATAGCTCTCTAAATCTCACTGCAGCCATTCTTCAGTTTTCATCAATATAGCCCTGACTTCTTTAGTCCTTATTTTCATACATTATTTATTATTTATTCTATGGCTACTTTAGTGGGGGGGACCAGCAATTGGCAGTCCAAACATTTGATTTGCCTTTGCAGGTGACAGAATTTGATGGCTCCAATTATAAAATCAATACTTATTCTGTTCAGTGGGGGGTGGATGATTCAGGAATTTTCACAATTAGCACACCGTGAAAGCAAAGTGATCTTTTGTTTGCACAAAGCAGTGACCACTCGCACAGACTCTGAAGCCAGTGACTTGTTAATACCAGCTCCACCGTCAACCAACTCGATCTCTGTGCTAGTTTCCTCATGCTCAAAAGACAGATAACTTTTTTTTTTTTTTTTTCTTTTTTTTTTTTTTTTTGTCCTTTTTGTGACCGGCTGCACTGTGCTCAGCCAGTGAGCGCATCACACTGACCATCCCTATATAGGATCCGACCCGGTGGCGGGAGCGCTGCCACGCTCCCAGCGCCGCACTCTCCCGAGTGGGCCACGGGCTTGGCCCTAAAAGACAGATAACTTTTTTTTTTTTTTTTTGTCCTTTTTGTGACCGGCTGCACTGTGCTCAGCCAGTGAGCGCATCACACTGGCCATCCCTATATAGGATCCGAACCTGTGGCGGGAGCGCTGCCACGCTCCCAGCGCCGCACTCTCCCGAGTGTGCCACGGGCTTGGCCCTAAAAGACAGATAACTTTTTAAAGCGTAAAAAAGCATTTATTTCACTGTGAAGTGGAAATAATTTTTAAAAGTTTGAGTAAGAATTTTACTTAGGCAATAAGTTATCTTTTTCTACAATCTGAAAAACAAAACTCTACTTTTAACAACAGGCTAAAAGTTTTAACAAATAACTTCTCAAATTACGATAACATCTCTTCAGTACATAATTTTATAATAACCTATAATGCCCACATTCAGAAATAACCACTGTTAACATGTTGGTATATGATATACACACAGTATAATTATATTTTATGTTGTGTTTTGAATTTTATTTTTCTACTTAATGTGTCATGAGTATTCTCTCAAATCAAGATATATTTGGGGTTTCCTACACAATTTGGAATAAAATCCAAAGTCCTCACTGTGGCCTAAAGTCTCAATGTGGAGCACCCCAGCCTCCCTAACTACCTTCAGCCCTTTCCACTTCCCACCCTTCTCTCTGAGTTCCACCCCCCAGACCCATCTTGTGGGTTCCTGGGCACGCTCAGCACACACTTGCCTCACTTGCTTCAGGGCCTTTGCACTTACCGCGAACCCCCTCCAAAACCCCTTCCTTCAGATTTTCATGAGGATGAGGCTCTCTCCCTCATTTCATTCATATCTCACCTCCCAACATGTGAACACCTTATGTAAACTAGCCCTGTCTGTCCCCTTGCTCTGCTTTATCACAGCATTTACCACTACTTCGTATCATATTACATAGCTATTAATTGTCAAGGCCTGTTTTTCACAGAAGAATGTAATTTCTACAAGGGCAAGGTCTTCGTCTTTTCATTGTTTTATCCCCTGGCACTAGGTTCTAAATCAGTATTTTTAGAATGAAGGGATTAATTTTGCTCTACTCTGTAATTTCATGACTGCATAGAACTCTGTTGCATGGAAGTTGCTTGATGTATTTAACTAATCCCCTATTTAGAGATATTGTAAATCGTACCGCAATGGAATACTTAAATATGTTCTCTTAAATACTTTTCGATTGTTTCTTCTGAGTTACATTAGTGTACCAGCTCCCTAACCATACCCCCTTCCTCTTTTCCCTCCTGGCACAGCTTGCATCACAGGCAGACTTCTATTACATCACACTCCTTTCCTTGCCCTGAAAGTGTAGAAACTTAAGTCCAAACTCTGAATGCTAGCATGTCCCTATTTTATCTTTCCATTGTGATTTCCCATCTCTGCTCAGAAATACACTCTCCACTTTATTTAAGCAGATTGGTCCTCCTATCAGTTCCTCTAATTATGCTTTCATGTGCATTGATCCCTCTCCTAGAGGATACTTTCAAATTTGTGGAAAAATAGAATTAAAAGATAATATGAATTTTTCCATAGGCTTTTGGAAGTATTCTCATATATTTCTATCTCTTTACCTGCCTCAGTTCTACCCATCTTCCAAGTCCCCTGACAGTTCCTCTTGATTCCGTCATGCCTTCCTGGAATTTAGTCTGTATGATCTCTCACTTCTCTGAATTTTTCTAGCATTCCTTGTGTCTATCACACAAGATGGCCCCTGACCACATTCTAGCACCTACCATTCTTTAGGGTACAATCTCATTAACTGCAAATTCCCAAGGCACAAAAACTGTTTTTTTTCTTTCATTTTTATGCCATCCTAGCCCACAAAATAATAAATGGTTTTAAATTTGTTTTGCCAGAGTCAAAACTTTTGTGGAAAAGAGTTTTTTGAGGGAAGAAACAGCATTATTCATGATAAAAATATTTCACTTTCCCTTATATTTTCTTTGCATATTATCTACACACTAGCCTTCCACAAATAATTTGAATTCTTAAATTCCTATTTGCAATCCCTGATCAACCACAATACAAAATCTGTTTCCAATAATTTTGCTGTTGTTGTTTTAGACTTTGGCTTGTGTTAAGATAACATTATTAAGTATGAAGTCATATTTAAAGACTCCTTTCCTTCAGAAACTATTATATAATCACAATGGGGTGGTATCTGAGTTATCCAGATATTTTTTGGGTTTTGTATAGGGGACTTGGGTCACTAGGAAAATTACGAAATGTACATTTTCTTTTTCCCCAGCATTTTCACACGTGAGAAATCGAGTTAAAATGAACAAAGAGGGCTGTCGTGAAAGAAAAAAAATTCCAAACGGTGCAGCACGAGGCCTGAGGGATGTGTGTGGGGGCAGGGGAGGATGCTTTCTCACAGGGAGGATGCTGCGGGGAGCTCCAGGCTGAGCGCACAAGCAAGGAGTTCTGCAAGGTATATTCTTCACGGAATACTGAAGCTGAGTTCATAAGTGACACACTTTCGCTTTTTGATCTCAATAACTGACATTATTATACTGAAACCTCAGGTCTTTTTCTCAACCTCCAAGTGCCTTCTGGTTGCCTGGTCTCTGGATCCCCCCAAAAGCACAGGCAGGGCAGCCTGGCAAATGCCCACTCACCATCTTCCTCGTAGAGAAGGCCCATGTGCGCACACGCCTCGGCTTCCTTCTTCCCACCGTCAATTTTGATCAGTTGAGCAACCTTAAAACATCGCTCATAGAAGTGGTTCCTTACCCACTTGTCTTCAGAATTATTGAAGTAACAGGCCAAAGCATACAGGTTATTATATACGTCTTCCAAGTATTCTTCAAAGAGAGAAAAACATCATAAACTGCATTAGAAAGATATCTCATGGGAAATCCTTTTGAATGGCAAACCAATGTCGTGACCCCTATTTCCTATTTTTCCCTAAAAGCGTGATTACCTATTTTAAAAATCCAATCTAAATGCAAAAATTAATACAACTATTCAATTAATTACATTAATTAAAGGATGTGCAGATGAATAAAACAACAAAAGTCTTTCCAAAAACTTAGAACATGTTAGAAATTGACATACCATCTGGTTGAAACGGGTAGCTTATTTATATAAGATATAGGACAGGATGACACCTACTAGCAATGTGCTCAGTTCTTTTGGAAAAAATGAGTTTGTGGTATTATCAAGTACTTTTTCCACTGAAGGTTTGAAAAGTATTTAGAGATTCCTGAGAAAGAACTGTTTTCCTTAACCATGGCAAAGAAATAATGTAAATTAAGAAAGCAGAAAGGACTTAGAAAGACCTAGGTATTCTCCCCCTAAAAAAAAAAAAAAAAAAATCACAGGGCTGATAGATATGAGAAATGTCGACCAGGATGACCCTATAAGCTCCACATACTTTCTAGCAATGTCTCTAGCAAGCTTGAGAAAGAGTAGACTTCTATGCTTCTGTTTTCTATGAGTATTTTTTTTTTCTGGTGAAAATGCATAAATACTAGTGATCCCTTTCACTCAAACAGTTGTTAGTTTATTACTTAAACCCTTGTAGGTTTTTTTTTCCTAAGGGGCGTCTGACCTATATGTACACAAAAAACTGTAAATCAGTTGTGAATCCCTCTTTAAACCCAACTGCATTAGTAAACTTGAACAAAAATGTTTGTGTGTTAATAAATTGTGCCTCAGTTCTATAAACGCCACTCTACCAATGAAGATGAACAAATTCATAATATTTTTATGTCTTTTTGCATTTATGCTGAAAGCACAGTTAAAAAAATGTGGTAGCCTCTAGGTTACCCTTCCAAGATTTTTTTTATAGCAATCATTACTCGAATTCACTGATATTAATTGTTCGCTACTACCAGAAGAGTCAATTCATATATCCCTGAAGAAATTACAACTATAAAAAATATTGCCCACTAGTACAACTATAAGATTAAAGTTAAAAAGCTCAGAAAAAAACAAAGCAGGTCGACTACAACAGAAGGTAGCTTTCAAGAATTGTAGATGTCACTCCAATGTTTCAAAAGGAATTTCTAAAAACTACGCTTTTCCTTTACACATACTTCTTTATAATTTGAAATTAAGATTTATCTCAAAATAAATTCTATGCTTACAAAACAAAATATTAGAAAAAATGGTCTTCCTATTTTTGAAGGAGCTAGGGATTCTGGAGAACCACTGTGCTTTTGGAGGGTACTCGCAATAGGTGACAGCTTAGGTGAGAAGCAGAGGGTAACCTGAGTTATTTATTTAAAACAAATATTCTCCACCTTAAAACTGACTTCTCCCATGCTTTCAGATGGAAATCCTGAACTCCTGCCTAATGTGAATAAACCACTGACGTCTGCTTTATATTTCACATTCTTGGTCATATTTGCTGATTAGAGAGTTATTGTTTTTAGAAGCCAGTAAGTAAAACATTTCATATCCTCCATTTTAATGAAAGGTACATAGTTTTAAAAAATATATATGCGATCCAGAAATAATTTTTCAATTTTTCAGTAATTCGACCTTAATATAAAAATATTCGCAACATTTTATAAATAAAGTTGGTTTTTGAGATTGAGTTATACTTATATAAGCTATCAAGATTCTATACTTAAAGATTACTTGTCAACTAAGCTATTTTTCTATGGAAAAATATAGTCCTTTTCAGAGTATTAAGTATAAAGGAATATATTAAAGTTTTGAATCTTTGGACAATCCAAATATGTAACCTATACCCTTTACATTCTAAGCAGTCTTTTCTTCTTGCTTGTAGACCATATTCAGAAGATGAAAAATAATTTTATCGTGGCTCTGCTATTTAGGCCAGCATTCATTATGCTCCCTAAAAAGGAGATTCCATGATGAAATAAATTTGGGAAATGCTCTTGCTGATTTCCCTTTTTCAGTGAGCCACACAATATACATCGGCATGTCAAAGGCTCTGATAAGTTCAGCAATAAATCAACCTGCTTAACTTTCATATTAGTTCACCTGGTATTTCCCAAAATTATTTCACCAGACAATTTTTTGTTTTGCTTTGTTTTGCATAAAACCTATAAATATCCTCTGGAACTTTGCTTTAGTAGGACATACTTTGCATATTTTAAACAAATGTTAGGGAAAAAAATTGATGCTCCACATGACAATAATTTAAAAATCAAGTGTAAATAATGTTTGAATTATCTATTGATTCAGTTACCCATTATCATCATTGCCATCTCTTCCCCAGTCCCATGGGGCTCAAGGACCTAATCATAATGTTACAGATGGCACAGAGATGATTCACAACAACGAGTAACATAAGAAATGTGTCAGAGACAAAAAAAACACAACACTTTAACAAATGGAAAATAATCCAAAAAGAAATGACTGGCTTACTTTAAAAAGGCCTTTGCTATAAATCAGAAAATGATGTTTTGTAAAATAATTTAAATAACTCTAGGTTACTGCTCTGTAAGCCTCAAGAGACAGAACTGACCTGAGATGACTATTGTTAGTGCCATAGCTTTGATTAAATGAACTTCATTGTGACCCTAGAGTGATGGTCTTTCCAATGAAAAGCAATAAGAATGCTGAGAGATACGCTATTTCAGGATAATTGTCTCAGACCTCATGACCATATGGGATGGAACCTTGAGACACTGTTAACAGATTTCTATGCTCTAGACATACATGTATTTTATTTATATATATATATATATATATAAACACATGTACAAACATATACATACAAATATGTTTTAATATTTAGGATTAATTCAAGTTAATAAGGGTAAATGTACATATCCCATTTTCTGGGACAGTCCCAATTCAAATCACAATTTTCCCCCAATAAACTTCACGTGTTGAATGTAAAACAAAATTATACAAATTTTTTAAGAGCAACCATACCAATGTTTACATGCCCTTCAACTGAAGTATTTCTGATAATACTTTTTGCAATAATTTTAATTTTCTATATTTCAATAACCCCACAGAAGAGTTATTCTGAGCAAGAGGTAATTTTTTTCCAATTTAACAAATACAACCTTAGTTTCCATAAATAAATTACAAACTGTTCAGTGAAGAAAATATTTTTTCATTACTCTTACAACTTGTATAAGACTATAGCTATTACAATGCTTGGACTAATATTTTGCAATTGGAGAAATGTTTTTATTTATATGTGTAGTTACTGTTCTTTAATAAAAAATTATAAATTAAAACATTTTCTACCTTAAAATAAACTATTTAGCATTTTACTTTCTTTATAATGACAAAATGCTTTATGACAAGTTGGCTCATAATTATGACACTTTATGACAAGTCATATATTTGGCTCACATCTGTGCTACTCAAATGAAATCCTCTATTTAAAACAGTGAATATGATGAAATTTGACGTAAAAACATGACTAATGGGCAAGTTTTATCTTGATTAATTCTACTTTCAGTGTAAATATCACTTCAGAATTTTGGACTGATACTAGAATGTAGGTTTTTTACAATAGCATTTTTTTATTTATAATCATTAATTTCTTGCAAAATTATATGTAAATCACATTTTAAAGTTTGCCAAAAGGCTCAATTTTTAAAGTCAACTTTGCAGTTAAATCCTTTTTATGATATAGTCACTTCCTATGTCACCCTCTGCCACTCACACATCCTGGTTCACTTGCTTTGTTCATATTTTTGTGTATCTCCTATTCTTAAGTCACTTCACAATCAGATGGGAAACGCAGGCTGACTCCGCTAGAGAGGCTGAGATACTTCTGCTGTCCTTCTTCCGCTGTTTCCATGTCCCCATCAATTTTCTCCATGGTAGTGCTGGGTAACAAAAAGTTGCCTAGTATTCTATTTTCCCACAGAAAGGCCCCAAATGATATATATACATTGTCATGGTGGGGCCTGAGCTTTTCTTCTTGAGTCCTATGATATTTTCACCCAAAAAGTTGAAGAAAAGAATAATTTAGAAAACCAAATTTATATGCCAAATTCTAGGATTTCCTTTTTTTCTCTGATTAAAGTCGATCAGTTAAAATGACCAGTTCTTAATAAGTAACTAAGAAATACTCATGACAATATCAATTTAATTTTAGTAGAGATTAAAATATTTTCTTCAATACTCGAAATATGTATTAACTTTCTGGAAAATTTTAGAATACAAAAAAATTGTTAGAAATGATGTCATGGAAAATATAAAATTAATTTTATTCACAATTGTGAACTGCAGGCTTTTCATGTCTTTTTACTATTTACTAATATAAATTTTCTGATTCAAATCAATAGGACTTGTTGATAAAACCTTCAAAGCTCATTATTTAAATGCTGGAAAGTCAGTGTAATTTTCAAATGATAGTACTCTTTGAAAGTATCTCCTCAATAAAAGTCAAAGTTAAATATAAAAAGGTCAGATTACACATAAAGAAAAACTATGGAACAGTTTATAACTAATGATAAAAAAATTCTGGGATGTTATTATTAGGTGCTATGCATTGTCTTCCCTGGCTTAGTTAGAATGACATCACCAGGATGCCCCTATGTTTGGGCAGCCTTGAGATCGGTGTTCCCTATCATTTATTCCATAAATGTGCTTGGTTGAATAGATTGAACTGGGCTAAATTGTCTTAATGTTTCAAATTCATACATGGAACTATCTGGAATCTTCCCTCAGGCGCCTGCCATTCTGAGTCCTGCTGTGTCCTACCCACAATCACGCCACTTACCTTTCCTCTCGGCAGCCTCAGCCCTGGTCAGGTAGTGGTAGAAGCAATCCAGTTTATCAGGCTGCTCCTCCAGAGGTTTCTGCAGCCAGACGACGGACCTAACCCTCGCAGCCTCCCTCAGGGCATCCCACCGCTCCATCAGACCAAAGAGCTCAGTAAAGGACTTATGATAACCATCTCGCAGCATGTCCACACAGATGTTCTTCTTGTATGAGTTCCTGTAACTGGGAAAAAGAATCAGAGCACTCAAAGCTTTATATTAATCCCTTCAATCCACACGGTGTTTTCAGTACCTAATAATTAAAGGTTGAATTCTTCTCTCAGTGAAAGCACTGAAAACTATCAAAAGATCTTTGCCTCAAACACTTACAATGGAACAACTTTAGTTTAATGAAAGATACCAGGAGCTATGTAAATATAGTAACTGTAATGAAATTACGTTATAAATATATCAGTTCCAGAGCTGAGCTTTCTTTGATAAGGACAAAAAAGCTACTTGACTGACAATATTCAAACCTACTTGCTATACTAGCCTCCCATTAAAAAACAAACAAAAAACAAAAACAAAAAGCTCCAACATACCAAGCAAAAATCAAACTTGCCATTTAATATAAAAACAACGTACTCTCTATATTAGGTAGTTTCACTATGTTATACAAGTTCATCATTCATTCATTCATTCACACAGAAAATGTTTATTGAAATCTATTAGTAAATATATTTTTAAAATTATTTTCAGTTAGAAAGTTAATGGTTTGTTAGATTAATAATTCACTTCTAAGTTCAATAATAAATCATATATAAGGAGATAAAGTGACAAAGGAATATTCCACTTATTCATTCAACAAATAGCTATTGAGTTCCCTACTAAGTGCCAGTTACTATTCTAGACCAGAAAGGTTCAATACCCTTGTAAGTTTGCATCCTAGTGGGAATATACAACCAACAAATAAGTAAACAAATGATAAATAATTTCAGATGATGAAAATTTCTATACAGGAAATAGGATTATGGTATATCAGCTGGGTGGTGGCTATTATTCACTGAAAGAATAATCAGATGCCAAAAGATATAGCTTTATACTAATTATGTTACAATCTTTTTTTAAAAATAATAGGAGACAATTAAATATTTACAATAGCTTTTATGATGTGATACCACCGGCAATAAAAATTTCAGTGTAGAATAATCAGATGCCAAAAGATATAGCTTTATACTAATTATGTTACAATCTTTTTTTAAAAAAAATAGGAGACAATTAAATATTTACAATAGCTTTTATGATGTGATACCACCGGCAATAAAAATTTCAGTGTAGAGTGGAAACAGCCCAGAATCAGTCAGAACACCTGAGGTTAATTAAGCCCAGTTTTCCCTAACCTCCCCGGACCTCATTTTTTCTCATCTGTAAAATGTATATATTAATACATGCCCTACCTACATCATGAGATTCTTCTAAGAACCAAATTAAATTATATATGTGGAAATAGTCTGAGAAATGTGAAACCCTGCACTTCTCCTGGTTCTCAACTCCCACCGGACCTCATTTTTTCTCATCTGTAAAATGTATATATTAATACATGCCCTACCTACATCATGGGATTCTTCTAAGAACCAAATTAAATTATATATGTGGAAATAGTCTGAGAAATGTGAAACCCTGCACTTCTCCTGGTTCTCAACTCCCATCTATGCATTAGATTCACCTATAGAGTTTAAACAACAACAACAACAGAAATGCCCGGGCTCCATCCACTAAGAATTTCTTATTCAGTGTATGAACTCAGGTATAGGACGAATGAATAAAGAGAGGTGAGGAGGAGAGTGGTAAGATACAAAGTTTTAAAAAGGAAGGGCCCAGATCATGAAAAGACCTCATGGTGAAGTGGTGAGAAGCCTGGACTCCAAACAAGGGGTGCTGGAGCGCCACTGGAGCCAAGGACCAGACACAGTGAGACTGCATTCTAGGAGAGTCATCTGGAAGGAGTGTCCCAGCTATCTGGCAGCCAGACGAAGGGTACCTTTGGTATAGAACTAGGCCACAAACAGCATAAGGAAACCACATTCGTAGGTCAAGAGATCAAAAGCCACCATTTAGTATGAGAACAAGATATCTTGGAAATGCAGAAAAGAAAAAAAAAATCACAGTGTTTGCTTGTTCCTGCCTTCCAGTCAAGAAAGAGGAAGAGCATATGGACATAGAGCCAGCAAGATGCTGGGAATGGCCGTGTTCTCTCTCTCTCTCACTCCAGTCAAACAGAGGAGGGGCCAGGGAACACAACAAGCATCAACACCCTGTGAAATCTGCTGGTATCTAATAGTTGAAAAACTTTTGTGTTCTACCTCCCACCTGGGATTTTTTTTTTTTTTTTTAAGTAACTGACCAGTACAGGGATTGATCCCTGGACCTTGGTATTATCAGAACCACCGAGCTAACTGGCCAACCCCTAGAATTCTTGAGTGTAGGAGGATTACCAACATCCGCCTTTCCAGCTCCCCCTACACATGGGCATGGAAAGGCAGCAAAAGACACTGCATAGGGTTTCTAGGTGGAGAAGGACCAGCCCAGCCCTATAATTTCCCATAGCCCCTGAATGGTATGGGAGGAGTGCCATAATATTACAGTGGACACCATGTGTGACACAGAAGTTACTGGAAAGAGAGGGCTGATAAGTCAGTCACAAGGTCATCTGGACACAGCAAAGGGATGTGTGCTAAAAGGCTGTTTATGGGCTGCCCGCTGGGGACCGAAGGAAGACACAGCTGTAACTCTGAAATGAGCAGCACTGGGGCAGCTCCTGAGGGTTCGGGTCAGCGTATTTCCAGAGCTGATGGAGCAAGGGTGGGTCAAGTGCAGCAGAGAGGGACAACTGCATAGGCCCCGTGGGCAGGGTGCATTCAGCTACAAGTAAGAAAACTCTCCTCATGGTGCCTTGAAAAATAGAGGCTTCTGTTCTTTGCCTAAACGCAGTCAGCCAAGGGCCCTGGTTGTGGCCTGGTAAAGTCAAGGCCACGTCTGTGTGATTTTCTTGACCTTCCCCTCCTGCTTGTCCCCTGCTGGTTGCTATAGGGCTACGATAGCTCCAGACATCATGTCCACCCTCAAGGCAAGAAGAAAGGGGAAAGTGGGGTGGCATCGGCTGTGTCTTTTCTGATTTGGGGGAAAACAAAAGCATTCCTGCAACTGCTAGAAGATTTCCACATTGGTCTCATTGGCCAGAACTGCATCACTTACGGCAAGGAGTCTTGAAATACAAATATCGTGCCTCCTTGTGGGCATACTGCTGCCCCAAATAATATTAGAATGATGTTAGCAAAGAAGTGAGGAACGGATAGGCAAAGGCAGCAACCATCACGAGGTCCTAGATCAAGGTCTGAAAGTAAATGCTGTCATTCCCACACCCCCACCCCAGGGTTAGCAATTAAAATGCAGGATGGACAGTTAAATGTGAATGTCAGATAAACAAGGGATTTTTTAATATCAGTATGTCCCAAATATTGCATGGGACATACTTGCATTAAAAAAGTTTCTGGTTTTGAAACTCAAATGCAACTGTATATCCTGTATTTTTATTTACTAAATCCAGTAACGCCACTCGCCTCCATCCCCCACCAGTGTGATGCTGTTTCTGTGTAGGAAAATAGGGTGAGGGGAAGAGGTTTTAGAATCTTGAATAGCCTGAGAAATCACTGAATCGGACTGACTTTACCTGTGAGTGACAAGATTGGATTTTTACACTAGGGAGGATCAAGGCTCAGGGCCAGGAATTAAAATGAAGTTATAAAAAAATAAAGACTTTCAATTTAGCAATCCTTGAGTTTGTGACTCTAAAGTTCATACCTGATCTAAGTGAAGGGTGGGATTAGAGTAAAACTGGGAGAAGGGAGAATGGACAGGAGACTCTGTGTTCATAGAAGACGAGGTGATGGAATCACGGTAAAGGCAAGGGATGAATAGACACAGGTGGATTCAATATTTATTTATTCAATATCTATTAAAATAAAAAATATCGATTACTTGGTGACTGAATGGATGTTGGTGGGGAAGGGCAGGGAGGAAAGGGGATAACCACCAGGGTTTTGGAGGGGGTAATGAATAATTTGCATCAGAGGCAATACAAAAGGATGAGCAGATTTGGGGAAAGATAATGAGTTCAAGTTCAGATAACTTGAGTTTGAGGAGCCTGAGGGGACATTCAAGTGGTACCCCAAAAGGCAGTTTGGGATTGGGTTTGGAGGCCTGAGAGCACAAGGGACTAGAGATCCAACCTTGCTCCAAACAAGCAATGCCATCTTTGTATGATTATGCATTGGCTGCCAGCATGTTTTCCTATGCGTGAAGAAAGCATTCTGGAAGAAAAATAGAGAAAATTATAAATAAATAAAAATTAAAACCTTGACTTAAAGCAATACAATTAAACACGAGCTAGGACAGTTAGTCAGCCATCTCAGTTCTAATCCTAGTCAGGACACAAATGCAGAAAAACACTGGATGGGCCTTGGTTTCCTCACCTGGAAGGTGAAGGTCCTTTTGTTGAATTTGGTTCTCCTGGCAGCTAGTTCCACTTTCACATGGTGGCACTCTAAAATACTTTTGGAAATAACCAATTCCACATTGTGTGTGGTCTTGTGGGAAGGGAATTCAAGGACTCTCTAGACAAGGTCGGGACAGGGGCAGGGGGAAGGGGTGTTACTGACCCAAATTAGGCCAGCTGGTCTCTCGCCCAGGATTTTGAATCCGAGGCAGGCAACACAAGGCTGCAGAAGGTTGCTGGAGCTCAGTCAAGCTGGCCACAGCTTCTTGACAAGATTCTGAAGTAGTTCTTCCTACCTAGGTCCATCGAGGGTCCCATGACTTGTGCTGTTCTTTTGAGCCAGTTTCTCCCCTAAATTCCGCTAGTTACCTAGTATCCTTTCAGTAACATCATTTCCACTTAATTTAGTCAGAATCAGTTTCTGCTGCCCGTAACCAAAGAACACTGATTCATAAGGGGCTGGATTAAATTATTTCCAAGACATCTTTCAGCCTCAAAACATCCATGATATATAACTAATATCAATTTTTTAAATTTCTAGTAAATTTTTTAGAAAGATCATTCTTCAAAGAAGATATTTCAAATAGAAATGTATTTAAATGCCATTGTTTAAGAAGACTGATTACCACTAATATTTGAAAGCAAGAAAGAACAATTATTGTGATTTACTAAAATAGGTTCCTATTTCA